AAGTGTCGTCTACTTTCTTCATCGATCAATTACAACGAATTAATTTTAAAAAGATATATATTTTATTTTCTTCATTTCATTTAAACTAATTTCAAGTTCAATTCAATATTCACCTAATTATAAACTTTTTGAATCATCTTGGAGTTTCAAATTTCAAGAAGCAAATTGACAATTTCATGTAGTTTGAAAACCTACTAGTCGAACTTTAAAAATGTGATGACAAAGTGAAAAAATTAGTTGACACAAACTTCTCCTTTCAAAAATATTCGAAGAATTGACAAAAGGGAATCATAAGCGATATGGTTTTTAACAAATATGCAAACTACTTCCAACTGCTAAGCTAATTGCTAATATAAACTCTGCGTCTCTACTCTCTACGTTAATGAACCTACAAATTGCCCGTTCAATAATCTCTCCATAATATTAATTCAAAACGTGTTAGGACTAAATAGTAGATTCACAAGATTCGGATGCTGACATGGCAAAAATCTATGCTTCGAAATGTTGTTTGTATATTAATCTTTTGCTTTGGAATTATACTTGGTATAGATATAAATACCTTTTTTTAAACTTGGTAAATGTATAGTTAATATTGTAATTTTTTTTTTTCTATTAGTACAAATTTCCTTCTTAATTTGGGTTATTACAAACTTACCATCTTATAATTTTCTTCTATATTTCTCTCTTAAATTACGATTTACAAATCACTTTTTGCATTATCTATTCCTTTTTTTATCATTAATCAGTCCACCAAAATTCTTAAATAAAATTTTTATTTAGAAATTACATTTGAAATATTTTTTTTAACTCAACACCCGAGAACTAAAAGCTATTGTAATAATTCTTTTCTAAAACAAGAAATTAACATGCTAAGACTAATGAAACGTTTCAAAATCGATTTACCAATTGCATCATAGAAGAAATGCCCTCAACAAATAAACATATGCCATAATAATTTGTAACTCTATTGAACAGATCAAATATGCAGCAAACGTTTCATTTTGCATTGGATATATTTACATCAATACTTCTGCTACAAAAATCCTTAATAACTACACTATCACTATAAGCTTTTAGGTACTGATACACAAGGGGCTCAATTTTAATGAAACCACACAAAACGCTAGTTAGCACCAACCAAGGAATGCCTCAATCAGCAGTGAATGGGTATACGTGCATGTTGATGATCAGAATATTGACTTCGAGTGATTTGAAGTTCGATTGAATACTCGTATCGCCCAACAGTTAAATAACTACTAAATACCCAAAATTTAGTAAGATTGAAAATCACAGGACTGGTGCCAACAGTTGTGTCCAAAGGTAGCGCACTACTCCTTACGAGAATCACCGGCGATAACGATGGCGTTTGAAGTTGAAGTACACATGTAATATCCCACGCTCAAATGTACATTTAAATCCCTTTTTGTGCGAGTACTCCCATTCTTTATTCACAATGCGGAAAGCCTGCGCACATAATATATAAGACTGAGTACATCTACCGGGTGTTCTTGTTCTTTTATTCCTTTTTTTTTTTGGTCTTTTTACAATCAATATCTTTCTCTTAAAATTACACGGAGACCCCTGAAGGTATGATAAACAAATCCCCTTGAAATTTGTATTTTACCCGACACAGACGTAATTTGTAATGTATACAGTGGTCAACGAACTATATGTAAATTTTGAAAGAATTAATCATCTTCTCTTGAATTGTATGCCCATGAGGTAGTAACTGCACAGAAATAAATAAAGAGAGCAGAGATAACTTACGATGTCCTCATACGGGGGCCCGGCGTGGAATCTAATTATGCAAGTCTCTGAACTATCCCCATCCTTCTCAATGGTGTAAGTGGGAGCTTTGGACTTGTCAACCAGATCTGGGTAGAAAATGTTGAACTTGTATCCCTGAACGATTTTGGGAGGTGGATTGTCGTGATCATAATGTGTTTGGTTGTACTTGTTCCACTCATACCCCGTGTGGACACGGTTGAAATACTTGGGCTTTCTTGGCCGATATTTATCGTGCCACCAATATACCTGTTTAATTAGCACGGTTCAGAGTATAAACTACCACATTTCAAATTACTAAATAGTTCAATAGGATGAATAGCACGGATCACAGTAGGTACCTGGGAATCAAGATTAATTTCATCGTTTGTACCAAATACAACATCACCTTCCTCCATGACTCCCATGGATTTCATAGCACTTTTCTCAAAGTTATCTTCAGGATGAGCCGGCCTCAATGGAAGTTCTTGAATGCGTCTCTCTTCTAATACAGCATTGCGTCTCCTCTCCTGCACATAGAATACACGTGAATCAGCTTATTTGCCAAACATTTAAATCTAGTACATATTTTTTCTGATAATAATACTTGACCATATGAAATAGAAATAATGAAAATATTCTTCAACCAAAAAAATAAAAGGTTCAGCTGAAAAGAAAAGGGAATGTATAAAACACTGAAAAGGAAGAGGAATAAGATAATTATGAGAAATGATGGAGATCCAGAATCTCTCAGATTGCAAAATCCTCCGCAGTGTATTACAAGAATGTGCAAAGATCAAACTTATGCTACTGACCAACGAACATGAGGGGGTCATGTCTCCATAATGAACTTTTTAACAAATCCCTTTCTTGGATTGGGAATTTACAAAACCAATCGATACCAGAGCAATAGCTAACAAGTAGAGAATTCTGAGACAGATTGGAAAGAATATGTTGGGGCACCAAAACTTCACAGAACTGTGAGAACCTCACATGGATCAGTAATAATTCTAGTTGATGAAATTACAGAAAAAACACCTCCAACATTGTGGAACTAGCACAAAATGATCTTAATACAATTATCCTATACTCTGGATTATTTTCTAAGCACATAGTTAGGAAAGACTGAAATACTGGTTTGCACAGAACTATGAGAGCTGCGAGTCAATCCACTATGGGAGTAATGAAACACCAGTGTCACCAAAGACAGAATTGCCTTAATTGATATGTCCCCATCTTATTCATTGATTAGCAAAACTGTCTAATATATCAGAATCTGTTATAATAATCCAAATAATGGAGCATAATGAGCATGCAATATGAGAAAAGGACAAAGAAAGTATAGATGTTTCATAAAGGAACATGCATGAAAGAATGACCAAATGCACTAACACGTCCAAGCATGAGCCACGAATGGATGCAGGGTGCTAGGGTTAGTGGTGTTTCACTAAATGTTATCTCCAGTGAAGGGAAATTAAATAGCAAATCCCTACTTTCCAGAAATACATCACTGCTCGTCAAGATGAATATTGACAAGTGAATAGTGAAGCTCTAGCTTCAACTTACCAAAATAGCCTTGTCCTCTTCAGGGTCAATTGCATTTTCTTCATTTTCATCACCATGCAGCTGCAGTGGAGAATATGATCCAACTAA